AATTCATATTCAATTGTTTTTAAATTTATATTTAACAATTTCTAGAAAACATTTCTTTAAAAACAATTAATATATATATATATATAATATTTCATACAACACAGAATGTAATATGTATGAATTGCATTGATATGATAAATTAAATATTTTTTAAAGAAAATTGAAATGGTATAAAAACAACTTAAGTAAAATAATACGAAAGAAAACGAACATTGTTTTATAATTTAAATCCACGTAAACACAATAAAATTATATTTTGATTACTTTCTTTTTATGAATTTTGAAATAAATCAATAGCAATGAATTTATTGAAAAGTTAAGTAAAATAGTTTCAAAACTACAGATTTAATACGAAGAATTTTGACAAAGTAATTTAATATTTTAGATATATATAAAATATTTCAATTGTTTATATATATATATTAATTGTTTTTAAAGAAATGTTTTCTAGAAATTGTTAAATATAAATTTAAAAACAATTGAATATGAATTTTTTAAAGTACAAGTTCCTATAAATTTATAGAAAGAAAATAACTAACTTTTCTCTTTTATGCATTAGAAAGTAAGTATTAAAAAGTGATTTTGTTTTAAAAGAAAAATTATCTTTTTAAATACATCTTACAATTAAACTTCTCTACGATTACGTTATAAAATGTTTTATAACTTCCGAAGAAACTTCTTAATACATTTTACATCAGCAACTAAATTGTATTAAAAGAAGTCATAATTACTTTGAGATATTATATTAATATATGATATTTAAGTCATTATATTTATATGTATGCTTTTTTATACATTTTAAGGTAGGAATTTCAAGAAATATTGAGTAAAATAGGTATCTAATTATTTCATTTATGAGAATACCTTAAAATTTATTGAATTTACTAAAATATTATCACTTGTTTTTAAAACTTATTTTTGGCATGCATTTAAATTACATAATTAGTAATTTATGCATATTTGAGCATATTTAGTAAATCATAGATTGTTTGGAAATAAATTTAAATATTTATTATATTTAAATAAACTTTTAGTTTACCTTATGCATATTAAAACGTAACAGTACAATTTTGATATTTAGCACAAGGTGACTTTACTTAATCCTTCTAAATAAATGATCATGTTTGTCGTTGATTATGAAGCATGGTTGCAAGTTTAATTCAGCGTAGAATACCAAACTTTGTACAAACTTTAGCAAATTTCTAACCTTAATTTTCTATTTTTATAATTTTAATATGCATAAAAAAAGGGGGAATTTTAGAAGTTAAAGTCAAGTCAAGAAGAAAATTTTCGAACGAATGAACGTCGATTGCTAATAAAAAGAACCGAAAGATTCAAGGATTTAACAAAGTTAATCTTTTAAAGTAAACATTGTTTAGATAATATACGTAAAGGTGGTCATTAGTTAAATAAATAGTGCAACAGGAAACTACATTTTTATAAAATTCTCTAACTTTTATTTATTTAGTCTAAACGAGAGTATCAAACTTTGACATTTGAATAGTTTCTCTTTAATATTAAAACCATGTTTGCCGTTCGATCACACATTCAAATGATACAGTTGTCACGTTTCCAATAACCAAAAGTCCGAATAGAGTTTCTGCACTTCTACATTACTGACATACAGTGACAAGTAAATGGGAAACGAAAGACAATAAATGATGCAGAAATTGCCTTGTTACTTTTCTAAGTTATTGAGCTTGTACGTTTTATTGAAATTCTGAAGTTTAAGAATAACGATTTATCAATAAATTAAATCCTTGAAAGATTTAATTATTACTATTATTTTTTTCAGTTTTATTACGTATCAACAAAATATTAAATAGCAAATACCTATATAAAGTAAAGTTTTAATAATTCATAAATATTAACATTTATTATTTATTTATTTGAATATTATTATGCCAATAATCAATTTTAGATTAGAATTGTATTGTTTATATATTTACAAATTTATAACAAAGAGATAGACACTCATATATTTAACAATAAGTTAATTATCGTTAAAATAAACAACAAATTACTTAATAATGAGAAAATATGTATACTATAAATTACAATATATTAATATATTATAAGAAAATCTTCCCAAAGGAAATTTATTTTTTTATAACAATTAATTATAATAAAATAGCAATTCTTTACTTATTATAATTACACTTTTATTTACTATTTTTATTTATTATTAAATTTCATGGCATGAATAATATACAGTATTGTAATTATAAACACAAGAACACAATTAATAGTACATTAATATATTACATATATATATATATAATAATTACTTTCAGTAAAAAGCGCAAATCCACTAGTAAACTTTATATTCTTGTGATTTTTCAGTTAAGAATATGTAAATTTACTTTTATTTAAATTTATGATAATAATAATTTTCAAAATTTATATTTTATATAAATTTTAAAAAACAAGGTTATTAAAATTTAATAAAGGTTTGAATAAAATCTTAACAATTAAATTAATTTGTTGCCTTAATTAATTTTATTATATCTACTCCAATATATTCGCTAAAGAATAATTTTGCAGTATAAGAATGTTTACAAAGATATAATAATTTTGCTTATAATGGCATGCCATTTTAAATACTTAATATACATATAAATTTCTGCAAACATCATGTTCAATTACTTTTAATGAACCACTTAGGATTAATTATAAAATAATTAGCATTGCTGATACTGTTAAATTATTCAAATTGACTAAAGGAACTACCGAACTTATGCCATTTTATCTTGTCATTTTTAACTTTTATCATTTAACCGTCTTTAATTACTTAATACGTGAATAGCTTAATTATAATTTGTAATTTTTGCTATTTTTATTAATGTCACCTTTAATGCAACAGAATGAAGTTACATTAAAGATATTTTCCTCTTAAACAATATTTAAGAACCAAAGCAAACATTAGATAGATTAAATATTTAATCTTTTGTGCGGCATAATTTATAACTCATTTTATTGTGTACATTTTTAGAGCAAATATTAAATTTATTCAATAAAACTATTTAATCTCCAGATATTTCAAGAATAAATTTGTTCAGAAGAAGAAATGTTCCTATATTTTTGGAACGTGTACATTTTTTTATATTTTTTTCTAAAGTAAACTCGACAAAAGTATAAAGCATAATTATGTAATTTTTCTCAATACTAACCAGCTTTTCGTATCTTTTTGTATATAAATGCATTAATCTTCTAGTTTTATATATTTGTAATGAATGATTTTATTCAACATTATCAAACAAGATATTCAAAATATTATATTCAT